TTTCTTGATTACTTTTGCATATTCATTGCATTATTTAATTGATTGACCACCAATTGCATAATTATTTACTTGTAGTGTTGTGAGACTCACAATAAGTTTAGAATGCGGCAAAATTAACATGTGTGCAGTAGATATTATGAATAGCATTTATCACGTATGTAATCATATAGATAATCTAAATTTTAATGCATTCTAATCATTCGAATTCGGGTTATAAATAGATTCAGATTGTGGTTAAAATAAATTTAATTTGTCTTGAAAAAAATTATATATCATTACTTTATCAATAGTAAAAAATGCATAAACAGAACTAGATTCCAATTAAGAATTAAAATAGATAGTAATAAGTGGATTCGAATTTTAATACAATTATCCATAATTTGATACAAAATACTTTTTACCGCTTTATTAGATAATTTAGCAGAAAATCAAATCAAAATCTCTCTTCTATTTACATAATTCAAATTTCATATATAATTAATAAATTTGAATTAAATTTATTCAACGTGAAACGATACTTCTAACCCACACGTGTGGATTTTGCACAAAGCACTAAGGATGAAAATGATATTAAGAATCCGTCAACCGTCTGACTCTTCCATGCATCTTCATATCTAATTATCTCTCTCGTACAAATCTCCACCTCACCCCCTCTCTCTTTGCACTATTCTCTCTCCAAATCTACCGCCGTCCACTTTTCTCTCGAAATCCTTGAAAAGACAGAGAATTAACAAAAGATCCCAAGAAATATGCAAGCAAAAGCAATGGCTCTGACAACCAGTGCCGCCGCTGCCATCCAGAACCCCTTCCTCCACCCTGTCCCGGACGCCGGAGCCGCCAAACCTTCAATTCCCATCAAGCGTATCTCAATTTCACCGCTCCCGATTAAACCAAGATCAAAACCCATCTCAGCCGTCCAATCCTCCACCAACGTGTCGTCCCCAAAAAGATGGAATCTTGATAGCTGGAAATCCAAGAAAGCCCTCCAGCTTCCAGAATACCCAGATAAAGTTTCCCTTGAATCGGTCCTCAAGACTCTTGAATCGTTCCCTCCTATTGTCTTTGCAGGTGAAGCTCGCAGCCTCGAGGAGAGGCTGGGCCAGGCGGCTCTGGGCGATGCTTTCCTTTTACAGGGAGGTGATTGTGCCGAGAGCTTCAAAGAATTTAGTGCTAATAACATAAGGGACACATTCAGAGTGCTCTTGCAGATGAGTGTTGTACTCATGTTTGGTGGCCAGATGCCCGTGATTAAGGTTTTTCAATTCCTCTAATATTTTTCTATAATTTGGCATTTTCTTTGAAGGAACTAAAGCTTGCTGCTGAAAAAGAAAAATGAAACTGAAAAAAGTAATTGAAATTTTAAATTCAAAAGTATTTTTAATTAAATTTGTTGTCTCCTGCACATATTTTTTCCAAGAAAAAATCGACCAAAGACGGGTATGGAGTGATTGGCAGTTGGCAATAAATTTTCGTAGAAGTGTTTCTTGTGCTTTATGGACGAGAAGAAGGAAATTTGGATGAATAGTGTGGAACCTAGTTAATAGCATATAGGAAGAGATATAGGAAATTGTGGTTGATGAAGTATTCTGTTCTGTAGTCTTTTTTTTCCCCCCACTAGTTTTGGTTTAACTTGTAGTCTCAGATTTCAATGAGAAAATGTGTACTATTACTGTTGTAAAATACAAGTATGAATGGTGATGGAGGACGGAAATTCGATTTATACACCAAACTGGAGTTATTCTTCTTTTTACTGGAAGAATCTAGCAAAGCTTAATCCATTTTACACTCAACAAAACAAGCTTTTAGCTTTGCGCTTTGAATGGAGTCATTGGCTGAACTTTCTTTCTTTCTGTGCACTAGAGCTGAAACCTTTGCTTAATGGAGATGGAGGTGTAGTTATGGCTGAAACTTCTGAACTTTAATTAGTACTTGAATTTTTTATTTTGTCTTAATCTTCTTTTACATTTAACTGGTTTAGGCAATGATTTGAACTTCTGAATTTTAATTTAATTAAGTGCTCTATGTTGGTACAAGTATTTTATCTTCAAGAGATTAGTTTTATTCACATACCATTCGTCCCTCTGCTTTAACAAATAAAGAGCAAGAGGATCAATGAAAAGTATGCTTATATATAGCTATGGAGGGTGGAAAATGATCCAGAATCCAAATTGAATCTTGTTATATTTTTGTTACTTATCATTATAGAGTTAGAAACCTAAATTCTTATTCCAAGGTTCACATCTTTTTCTGCTCTATTCCTGACTGGGATTAACTAATTGTAATTGTATACAATGAAAAATTGGGGATAAATTGATGATTGCTGTAAGTGGTTATTTAGGTGGGAAGAATGGCTGGCCAATTTGCTAAACCAAGATCCGATCCATTTGAAGAGAAGGATGGCGTGAAGCTGCCAAGCTATCGAGGTGACAATGTAAATGGGGACACTTTTGATGAGAAATCACGAGTTCCTGACCCCCATAGGATGATTCGGGCCTATACCCAGTCTGCAGCTACATTGAACTTACTCAGAGCATTTGCTACTGGAGGATATGCTGCCATGCAGAGGGTTACCCAATGGAATCTTGATTTTACCAAGCACAGTGAGCAGGGGGATAGGTGAGTATTTATTCAAACTATTGGTTTTCGGAGAGTTCTTGTTTCAGCTTTCGTGGATGAAATTCTTATTATTTTATTATTTCCACAAGATACCTTGAACTGGCTCACCGAGTTGATGAGGCCCTTGGCTTCATGTCTGCTTGTGGTCTCACTGCTGACCACCCAATCATGACCACGACAGAGTTCTGGACATCACATGAGTGCTTGCTTTTGCCTTATGAGCAGGCACTAACGAGGGAGGACTCAACTTCTGGCCTTTATTATGACTGCTCTGCTCACATGCTTTGGCTCGGGGAACGCACAAGGCAATTGGATGGTTCACATGTTGAATTTCTAAGAGGCGTTGCCAACCCCCTAGGAATCAAGGTCACTACTGATAAATTTCATGTGACTCATTAAGTACCTTTTTCATCAATCAGTTCTTTTTATGTCGGATTAATATCACTGCCCCTTATCGTGGTCTGAAAGATTGTTTTATGTGATTATAAATTTTAGCAAAGACGATTATTCATTTCATTTTTGATTCAGGTAAGTGATAAAATGGATCCAAGCGAGCTAGTAAAGCTCATTGATATTCTGAATCCTGAAAACAAACCTGGAAGAATAACCGTGATAACCCGAATGGGAGCCGAGAACATGAGGGTGAAGCTTCCTCATCTGATAAGGGGAGTTCGCCGAGCAGGTCAAATTGTTACTTGGGTTAGTGACCCCATGCATGGGAACACAATTAAAGCTCCTTGTGGACTCAAGACTCGTTCCTTCGATGCAATAAGGGTATATTACTATTATGATTTCACTTCGTAATGGCAAAACTTTTTTTTCCTGCATTTTGAAGCGTCTTTTAGTTGCTTTAATAACTCAAATATCATTTGGCATGCTGGCTAACTGTTTGATACGCATTATCTTAAGTTCTATCCAAATAATTGCTTGAAAATAATGCTTGTGTGCGCATGTGGTTGCATGCTTCTCATGTGACTGTGGGTATAAGATAACTACATCAGTAGTTTGAACTGTTTCGATGTTCTGTCCATTCGATGGTAAGTGTGACTTTGTGGAACCCTAAAACTTCTTAGCCATTGAAAGCCACTTACATTTTCATAGTTCGTGGCTACATATAAATCTGTACTTTTGTGAGGTGGGGGTATAATTACGACTCGTCAGACTTGCATATACTTGATTGGTACATTTTAAAGTTTTGGGCTTACATATGTTTATAGATTCATGTTAACATGCTGTTCATAACAGTCAACAAAAAAACATATTAGTTTCACTTCAATTATGAAACGGAATTCCTATCAGGGGAAGAAAAGAAAATGAAGCCCCGTTTGACAACCATTATTTTCACTCTTTTTTATATAGTCGTTTTCAACCACTCTTTCACACAATAAAATAATTTTTAATTCAAGTGTTGATTGACTGAATTTTTGGATTTCGAGATTAAATAGAAATGTTTAGTGATCGCAATGACATTAATCGCTGTGCATATCCTTGCAGGCTGAGGTCAAATCGTTCTTCGATGTACATGATCAAGAAGGAAGCTATCCTGGAGGCGTGCATCTGGAGATGACTGGGCAGAATGTTACAGAGTGCATTGGAGGTGCTCAGACAATTACGTACAACGATCTCAGTTCACGTTATCACACTCATTGTGACCCGAGGCTTAACGCTTCTCAATCATTAGAACTAGCTTTCATCATTTCCGAGCGCCTCAGAAGGAGAAGGCTCAGACCACAGCGCACTCTTTCATCTTTCAGGGTTTAGAAAAGCATCTGTTCTTTACCTTTTGCGTAGCTGAAAGCATCAAATATTGCATCGAGTTAGTGCACTGTGTTAATGACATCTAAGGTATGATGCTTGTGAAAGTAATGTAGGCCAATGTGCGTCCAAGGTTGGTGAAAGCATAAAACATTAAGAACGTGTTTGGTATACAGTTTTTTATAACTTCTATCCAGTATTGTCTAGTCTAACATAACGAACATGCCCTAAGTGGTTAAAAGTTGTGAAATATGGAAGTGAGAATCAGTAACTGGCCAAGTGATCTTGACCGACTTTGTATTTTATTAATCATGTTTGTCTTCTGATCCATGCCATGATGATCTGAAGCTTGTGTTTTTCTTTGATGTGGTTTCTCTCTTCATTGGGTTATTATTAAACAACTTAGCCTCGTACAGAATTAATTCTTTGATTATCACCTAATGCTTATCTTTTACACATTTCTTTCATCTCAAGTGGTTTTTAGTGGTTAATTTTAGGGTAAATTTCACTTTGGGTCCATAACCTTGTCATTTTGTGGCAATTTTGTCCACGTTCAATTGTTATCCCATCCCCACCTTCCATTTATTAGCAAGATTAATCCTTACTAAAGTTTTCTTCAAAAAACAAAAATTATTGGAGTGATGTATAAAGACAATTTGCCTAACTACCAAAGAGAAAAAAAAAATCAAAATAAAAGTTAAAAATACTGTTCTTCTCTTCCAGTTACCCACCCGCAAGCCCCTACCAAACAAAAACTGCTATCACGCCATATGCACCGCCACCGCGGATGGCCACCAACACCCAAAATCACCGGGGAAAAAATGGCCATAAATGTCAAACACATTTTAATTATTTCTGTAAAGTCTCCTTTTTCTACATAGAGCTTCACATATTTCCAAATTTATTAATCAAAATCTGCCATCTCCCCAAACAACAGAAAATGACCTAGTTCAAAGTTTTTACTTCAAACCCAAAAAAAAATAAAATTGTCTTGTAGTTTAGAACCAGGTGTTTACTTCAAAACCAGCTTTCTGTTCAAACTGAAATTCAATAAACAAAACAGACAGCAAGAAAACCTAAAATTCAGTGAAGTAAGAAACGTTGTGTTTAGCAGAGGATGGTGAAATTGCGTCAGTAAACAAATGAGGAAACCTTCCAAACTTCACAGAATCAAATTGAGGAACGTTTTGACATTAAGGACACGCGATTCATAAAATGATGGATCTATCACGAACTTTTGTATCGCTTCTTGTCATTTGAATTCTTCATCAAACAAGACAGTAGCAACACTTTCTTGAAAACGAAAATGAAAGTTGAAACCTTTCCACAGATCAGAAACAAGAAATGTATCGTTGAGATCAAATACTGTTAGAAAAATACAGTGTAGTTGTCAAATAATGTGTATGTCTCCGTTTTCAAGGTTATACGAGGAAATTGATGTAATATCCTTCCAAATAACATTGGTATAGCCAAATATTCTTAAAAAACATGCAATCAACTGGTCCTGAATCGCTTCTTCGGGAGGAAGAACTTGTTCTGCTTCTTTCTGCAAAGAGGTGACATCTTTATCTGCAATCCCACATGGCACGATATGCTTGAAGTAGTTCAAATCTGGATTTATATTAAACGCCAAACCATGAGAAGTAATTCCACAGGAAATTTTGACCCCAATTGCACCAATCTTTCTCTCGCCAACCCAAACTCCGGTTTCACCTTTTGGGCCTGCACAAGCTTTAACACCATAAAGAGATGCCAATTCAATCATTATTAATTCGAGGTTCTCCACGTACTTTCTAGCCCCAAGCCCCACATCCCTCAAAGAAATGATGGGATACAAGACAGCCTGGTGTGGACCGTGAAATGTAATGTCACCTCCCCGTTGTGTGTAGTGAAGTTCTGCCCCCATGGCTTTAAGTTCAGACTCGGGAACCAACAAATTGTGAACAGTTCGCCTTTTCCCAAGAGTATACGTAGGTGGATGTTGTAGTGAAAGCAGAGTATCTGTAATCTTTTGTATTTTCCTATCGGACGTCAGTTTCTCTTGGAGCTTAAGTGCCTCCAAGTAATTGACAACACCCATCTTCCATACCTCAAGGCTTCGAGGAACTCTCATTCCCTAAACATAATTAGCAATCGTGAGACAATTGATTTCATGTTCATCTTCAAAGTCATACCACTTGTGATGTTAAGCAGATTCAAAAAGAGGAAACTTGCACGTTTATTACTTAGATTGTATTCACGAGTTATTCACATGCTCAAATCAATATAAAATGGAAAGATACAAAACCCTTTTGAGTAGCTGATAAATATGAATAAGAGAAACTCTTTTACAGCCAAGGCACAAAATTAACAAAAGAAAGATGGGGAATACCCAGACTAGTTAGAAAACAATACATACTCATTATGTCATTAACATTCCGTGATGATGATGTAAAGGAAACAATTTTTAAACTTCAGTGGCATAAACTAAACAATATAAAGTGCGGTGAACTTTAAAAATGGTTCATTTTCATCCTCAAACTTCACAAGTGTATGTCAGGCTGGCTAACCTGGTGGCATAATGAAAACCATTTTTATCGTTAACAATTTAATGTTTGATAATCAAAGTAAAATTTAATGTTTATGTACATTGATTATTAGTAAAATTAACCTAAAGAACTAGCTTTTAAGCCACTTTTAAGTCACACCTAAACAGATGATAGTAGATTTTTAATTTTTAAATAGAGCATTCTTTAATATAAAAATTAGAGCTAATTCTAAATTTTTACTAGAAAAGTGCCTTTCAAAAATTCTAAAGATCACATATTCGTAAGGGCGTGTAAGGCTGTGAACATATAGTATATCATCTAATTATTCCACCTGTATAATTCAAGTAGTCCATAAAAGCACAAGAGAAGAATATAGTACCAATTGTTCTAAACACTACACTCTGTTGAATAACACAATACAACATTGCATCATGAAAGTGGCTTTTTCTAAACACAAAGAAAGGATAGTTAATGTGTGCACAAGTTTTCAGCTCCGAATACACACAACAGTCTCTTAAGATTTTACATGCTCCAACAAAAATCTGTCTAGTGTTATACCACCTCATCTAATCGCTTAATTTTTCAGATGTGAGCCATAAAAGTGTACATATGTAGAACTTTCATAAGGAGCTGAATTCAGTTTGAACATAAGAGGGCATGTAGTAGATGCTTTTAGACGAGATTGTTTAACGTTAATAAAATTTTTTCCAACCAATGGATAGTGTGAAGAACCAATTTTACTTATCCCACACAACAACACAAGACTCCCAACTTTTACCAACATCAGAACACTTGACAATTTTCACCTCCCCATCCTAATCAGCCTAAAACTCGCCCACGTTGAAAACCATATGCTCTCACTTGTTCTATGCAGTTTATAACGCAGAAACACATATGAAGACAATCAACCACTAAATTTTCAACATTTTGC